GGCGCCAATGCGAATCTAACGGGCGCCGGTTAGAAGGCGTGCCAGCCGACTAACCGGCGTTGATTTCATCAGCAGACATCACCGATCATACCCAGTCCCAGGTGCGCCGGTCTGCCGGGTCATGACACGTGTGGGCTACCTCGTCTGGACCGAAATACCAGTCCGGGGACCACCGCGCCTTGGTCCGGGGACCACCGCGCCCTGGTCCGGACCACCGCGCCTTCGGAGACCGCTGAGCGGATCAGCGTCGGGCTCTGATCGCTGCCGGATGCTGCTGATATGATCAGTGCTGATGCTGATGCTGATACCACCATCAGACGGGAGTTGAAAGCGCCGCGAGTGGAGCTTCTGGTGGAGCGAACTGGTTGGGCAGAGACGGGGTGGGATTAGTTGGTGTGAAGTAAATAAATAAATGGGACGTCATTTTTATGTGAGAGTGGTAACGTATCCTGCATGATCCTGAACTGTTTTTGTTATTCACGACCATTTATATTGTACCGTAAAATAACGCCTTTGTCATATATTTCCGTGTCGTATCTTTTAAGCTGACAGTTGATATTTGAAACACTAAAGGAATTGGTCTTTGACTCATAAAGCCATGCGATTACATTTCAACACCGCGAATATTATCTTCGTTTCTCAGGTTGATAGTAACTGCACTGCCACTTAGACCGCAATACCTTGGAAATCATCCTCAGACTTATCCTTTCCTCCTTTTGTTATCACGAATCAAGGGCACATTTTGAATCGCCACCACAGTCCCAGTTCAACCGTCCTTTTCTACCGTCTGCCGTTGAGACTGTGTCGGTCGTCGCGTCTGGATGGAGCGGCTCGCATGTGTCCGCTCCAGCGCTAAGTACCGCTCAGGGGGCTCAGTGTCTGTTGCGAAGCAGGTAATAGGACTGAAGGTGCGGATTTGGCCCGTGCCTGCCAGCAAACCCTCTCACTCAGCTGGGTCCAGTCAGGCTTGTGTTGAGTCCCACCAAGCCGCCGCAAGCCGGCTGAAGCCTGACGGAAGTCATAGGAGCCGGGTGCCGCGCTGGTCTCAACCGGCCGGTCGGACGGTCGATTTTCGACCATGGTCGGCCTGTCCTCAGTGCTCACTTTAGCATCTACTATCGTCTTACTTCAGAGTCTATATTATTCCGCCATCCTTCTCACTTGTCAGTTTTCACCTCAGAGTTCTAAAATCATTGCGTTCTACCCCGGGTACGTTTTCTCCATGATCTGTCTTAGATTTTGTGTCGACGTGTTTGGCCACACGGTGATATCAATAGCTCCGCAGAGAGATGTAAGTATCGCTGTCTGGCAAATGCAAGAAGATGGCCATCCAGTAAGATGGTTTATGATTATAAGTCACCTTATATCTCACTGTTCTTCCGAGTTACTTCGCCGATTTGCTGTGATGATTTATTTTCCCGAGCTTCTGTGATCTATTGTGTCGGGTTGATATCATCCCAACCCCTATACCTACGCCGACATGTTGCACGGTCCCGTTCGGTTGCGGTGCTTGGCGTGTCCCGCCGCAGTTCGCTCGGCTGGCACCGGAAATCTTATCCCATGTCACCGTCGGAATCGAGCGGAAGATCAGCCGCGATGAGAACTTAGCCCTATACCGCAGATTAGGGCCCGACCGGCCGGTTAGCCTCTCATGGCAGAGCGAGATAACAAACAAATCCAACCGGTGAGTGTTGACGATCTGAGATTGGACCCAGTCCGGACCGGTTACGGCAGAAATCCGCACACACCGTGAGGCAACGGCGTTTCGAAATGTGGGAGTTCATTCATTCAGTGGGCCACTTGACGTTTATGGTGGAGTCGTGGATTCATTCATTGGTTTTTGGGAAGGCTGCTGGCGTTGCTAAAAGGAAGCACGACTGAGGAAGAGTGTTGCCGATAAAAATGAAATTTTATCGTTGAGTTCAGGGGGTGAGTGAGTGCTTAACTCGAACAAGGTAACCAAACCAGGTCATTGCGAAAAAACTGCCGTTCATGTAACGTCATGACACAACCAAGTGTTTCTAAAACCTTGACAACCTTTTCTAAAACCTTGAAACCCTGACAACCAAGTGTTTCTAACCCATTTTGTAAAGTTTTAATGCTGCAGGTGTTATTTTAGAACGATTTCGCTTCCCTGCATACGGCACATTGGCCGTTATAAAAGAAAAATGCTTCTAAGCTGTGGCCCGTGGGGCTGTTTCACAAAAAAATCACGCATATTGCTAGAGAAATCAAAAATAAGCAAATAAAACATGCTCAAAGCTCCCACCATCCCTCAGTGGTCCCCATATGGTCCGATCACATCACTCTGCCCTGTGCACGGATGACGTCACTGGCTGTTTATGACGTCACTGTGGGAGGAATGGGTCGTTCGATGACATCGATGTAGGAGAGGCGTGTCTGTCTGATGATTTCACGATCCAGTCTTCACGCCTGTTTCTGGCATACCCCTGGCGCTCTGAGCAATACATTCCCACGGCTATTTTTTATTTTAGTTTTTTATTTTATTTTTTTAGTCAGATAGCCTTAAGCGATGCGTCTTAGGTACGGTGTGTTTGAAAACCGCGGTGCAAGAGTTCTATTGGACATAGGCGGCGGAACGGGGAGGGCACCGGGGCACCTGCCCCCCTTTGATTTTGGCATTTTAACATTAGCCCTATGGGCGTTGCATGGAAAGAATGGGACCAAAAGTCGGCAGTGCCCCCCCCCCCCTCTTAATTGAAGGTGTTCCGCCGCTACTGCTATTGGAGGCTGGAGCTGAATACACAATCACATCCATTGTATCACTGTTTGTTTTCATCGATGCATGCGAGCGTCATCGGAAATTCTATAGCGAAGATATGTCTCTCTTCTCGCATCCGTTTGCATCCTTACACCTACACGTAGTGCCGAGACGGTGTTTCAAAAGTCCCAATGACACACTCGGATCGGACGAATGCGGATGTATTCCGCCGCCATTCCGCGCATGGAACTCTGGACTGCACATCGCACATTTTATCTATCATACAGCGTTCGGACTTTGTCCTCTGACCGTTTTCTGGAGCTGCAGCGCTGCTAGCTCGGCTATCGTATGGTGTCATATCCGGTGTAAGCGTGATATGGGATGTTACTCATGGTTATACACTAATGCATCCGTTTTGGTAACCGAGCATACTGGAAGACTGATTGTGATTAGCTTGGTTGAAGCCTGCTCGAAGGTGCTTTAGTCTTTGGGAGTTAATGATTTACTGTTTTGTGAAGTATACACCGGTATTTTTTGTTTGTTGGCTTACATGTTTTCTTTTGTTTGTCTCTCTTAGCAACAGGATTTATACTGATGCTGAATAAAGTAAAGCAAACACGGAACTCGGAAGACCATGCTAATGCTAGAGGAGTGGCTTCGAAACATAGGTAGTTTAACGGGTCGCCGCTCAGCTTGGCGGTGCTGTTGTCAGACGGAAGCCTCTTAGGGCTCGAGTGGGCGGACCTGTACGGTTGATAATACACTGATCCACTGCAGACTCGTCCCTATTTCGACAACCTCTGCCACTTCGTGTTATGCTTCCTGTTTTGTCATCGCTTGCCGGCTGCCGCCCCTTGACGTTCCCTTTACGCCCGCTGTCTGAGAAATGACTATGTTGACGAATGACGATTAACATCGAAGGCGAAGCCAAGTGTCCGGGTTGAATCGGAATGCGACATACGTTGCGGGTGATTGGGAAAGACAGGAGGTGATCTGATCTGTTACTGTTGTGGCTTCTGACCGCCGCGCCGGGGAGGACGGGGGATGTGACGTAGCGCTCTATCACTTCTGTTTTCGCTTGCGATTCTTCACCGAATCAGGTCCGTAAGTTGCGTGGAAGAATTGATGCTGTCATTCTTACGTGTAACTGTCTCTAGTTCTTCCTTTAGAAAGTCGAACGCCAATAAGTAATAGAACAGGATAAAACGAGTTAAGCATTCATTGTAGGGTGGCAAAGAAGAAAACATTCATTGCTTTACATAAGCCTCGCAGATTTATGATCGGCAAGGTCGGGGTCTGCAATGGTAGCGTGTCCCATATGTATCCAATTTGCCAGCGTCTGCGCTCAGTTTGCCGGTTCCAGAGTCGCGAAAACCTCCCAGGTCGTGACTCCAAAAACGCCGTTTGACCTCCGATGACTGAGCGACATGGGGGCGACTCCCCTGTCACCACTGATCGATCACATACCATAGCGGGTGATGGTGGGGGTACAGGTAGTGCGCGTGGGTGAGGCGAGGCGGGTCGAGGGGTCACCGGGACCCAGCTAACCGTGGGAGTTAGGACAAGGCTTCAATGGAACGTCACTACTTGTAATATCGCCGCCCTGCGGTGGAGATTCCCAAAGATAGCGATCACCTCTGTCCGAACGCACCCCCAGGACGCTCCTGGGGTGACATGTCATCGCTGCTGATTTGCATGTTCGCGTGGGAACTCTGTAGGTTATGACGGAAGTGGAAAGGGCGCGGCGTTAGAGAATGAATGATGGGATGAGAAGAAGGGGGAGGGATGGGGGTCGAGGAGGAGGATGAGAAAGGACTGGGAATGCTAGCTACCGCGGGTGGATCAAAGATGGCACGTGACGAATGGGATAGGATGGGACAGTTGTGCGTCCGTGAGCTACGGCGTGGGAAGAAATAATATGAGTCACGAGGAATTTGGTGAAATGACAAGATGTGTTACTGACTTTTTATTCATGCTAAAATGAAATGTCATAGGTATATGCAATTGAAGCGAAACTGAGTGTCGCTTAGAAAGCAAAAGATGATGCATTGTTGCAGAATGACTGACCGTGTCTATGTTTACCTTGGCTTTCACTTTGCTGGTGTGATTCGTTGCATGTAACTATCTCTTGTATTTTGTGCAGCCTTGCTCCTCACTGGTAATTGGCCATATTTTTGTCATTGTTACATCTAATTCTGGCCTTACTGGTGATTCCCTGACTGTCTGCTACATCAGAATTGTGACTTGGAGATTCACTGATTTATCTTTCCGTTCGCAGATTCAGAGGATACACCGAGATCTCATCCACGTGAGTACCATTCTTGTTTACTGCGCTCAGTTACTGCTATTTGTGTGCAACCCGTTTCTCTTTTGGCTTCTTTTGACTTTGAAACCCTGGCTTTGAACCCGGCCCAAATCAACGTGGCATGTTTCATCTGGGCTAGTTTGCGGCTCTGCTTTTCAGCACTGCGCTGGATTTGGGAGATTGTAACCGGCTAAACACCTTGTCACGTGCTGCGTGCGAACTGAATGTATGTAGGGGGCTTATGAGGCGCGTTTTAGCGTTGGCGCTGAGCTTCTCGACACGTATATGTAAATTGTAAAGCTTTTCGGCGGAGCTGCGCCTATGCTGAACAGACGGCCCGGCCACCCAGGTGTGTTGATGGATCAAAATACATACGGAGTCTCGAGGTCGAATTAGAAGTGTGCGCCCTTGCGGGCACACAAAATGTGTTTTTGATAAGTTGAGGTGGGAAAATGTGTTTTTCAAGTTTACTTGACATTTCATTTTTCAGGCCAGGCCAGGCCAGTGAGCTGGTTAAATGTGTTATAATTTTTAGTCCAGATATTTGCGAAAGCCGAAATGAACCAAGGCAGTTGTTTCCTACCTAGCGGTCTTACCTTGCATCCTTCGACCGAAGTCTTATTTTGAATTCATTCACGGATGGATTGATTTGTAAAGCCGCTTTGGAAGCTGATACAGGTTAAACCGATTTCTGCGCTATTTTTTTCGTCTCTCCAGCTGGAACCAACGTCAATGGCGGTCCAACCAGCGTTCAGTTATAACATCTGGGCATTGTTTGGCTGGATCATGCAAATTCAAACCAACGGGCTGCGCGCTGACATGGTTTGCGTGATGCCGAATCCACAACTGTAAAATGTCTGAGAGGATCACAACACGACAATGAAGCATGTCTCAGATATCCGATTATTTTCCAGTTTTCTTTTGACACTGCCACACATGCAAGCTGGCTGGAGGTGACTGGCAATGGTCCTTTTTGTATTTGAACTGATCAATTAAATAGGCAGCTGCATCGGTTATCGTTTCGGTATTTTTATAATACATTTCCTTAAAAGCTCACTGAAAAACTGTCTTGTCCGGCATACATGCCAGCAATGGCGGTCTGTCATTGCTTGACATCTTTTCTGATAGTTGACATGCTGCCGTCACATAGTGAGCGAGAGGGGACCGTGGTCTGGGAGGGAGCGAGGGGTTGACGAATCGCTGACATGAGTGGCGCTCGAGGGGCTAATGAGGTGCCAAAGCAAGGTTTCGCCCCCCCCCCCCTCGCCGCCGCCGCCGCCTTTTGCTTTGGTATGCGACGTGGCGACGGAAGCATGTCAGTCAGACGGGTTTTCTTCAGGCTTCTGACTTCCATTCTTGAGGTGGGTGGGAATGCTTTTGAAGGTGGTGTTTCCACAATCGCCCTTCGCCCATATCTTCAGACGCGTCCTGAGTCCCTACTGCCTTGACGTCAAATAAACCAAAATAAAATAAAAAAGGAAAGTCATGAAACAAATGGTATTCAAGGAGCAGCAAGCAGGCAGTGATGTACCAACAGACAGTCGGTCGGAGAGACAAACAGACGGACGGTTTTCTGCAAACAATCACAGATGGGAATTACACTCAGTATGGGCACATCACGTACTGCATCCATAGTTATGTCAAGAATTACTGTTAACTCCGTATAAACACAGCAATAAACCTTCAATCAACATTAAGTCAAGGTTGACGTCTGACAATCATTACTTTAACAGTTCAAGTTCATTGATGTTAGCACGCAATCAACAGTTTGCTAACTTGCATCTTTAAATTAACAGTTGTACTGACCAGATATGTTTGGGCACGACGGTGGAACAAAAACAGTGGCAGCGGCTGGCTCAATCTCAGTCCGCACTCGTAGGTCCGCGGCTCAGCTGGCTCACACTCAGCTGGACGGCCCTAGAACCACCCCAAACATATGTATAAACGTTGTCTACTTTGACAATGATAAACTAATGACGGTAAACAGCAAAACTAAAGAACCTGCACCCAGTAGTACAGTAAATCAAAGTACAAAATTGAAAGCGCGACGAAAGTGGCGCTACGTTGGTTTGTTGCCATTTCCGCTGAATTCAACATCGCTCACAGCTAACAGAAAATATATCAGACAATACTAATTGTGCTAGCTATCACTTGGATGCATTCATTAAACATTTCAGACAATCATCAATAAGAAAATGAAAGCATACGTACGACGGCCCTCGACACCAGTGGTTCATTCAAGAATGAGCCTGCGTGGTCGACAATTTGGATGCGTCTCGTGCGCCAAACTCGTCAAAGACACGCGAGCAAACGCGGCCACTAAATGACGGGCCGGCTCCCGAACGTAAAGAGCCGCCAGATTTCTCACAAACGGCGACCGGTCGCAACATCCTCCCCCCTAGTTTTCGGACGAACCGAAAACTCACACATTGAGCGACCGAATATGCAGTACCAAATGCTCTCACAGCAAGGTAACGAAAGACAAATTCTTCTCACAGCACTGCAAACAGCAATTGTCCGCTCTTGCACACGCGACTGCATGGCCGCCAGGTAAGCACAAAACGCACTGTGCGCGCAGTCCGAAGTCACGCACTAACGCCGTTCACCGATGCCGGTCACGGTAACGCATCACCACCGCACGAGGCAGTCTGAGGCCGAGGGCGCCGCCCCCGGGCGGCATGGTCATTTCTCCGCGCACCACGCACAGTCACATCGCACGGTAGTAGCCGAGCCGAAGATGCTGCGCGCCGCCAGCCGACACGACCGCTCGGGCAGCAGCGCGCACGAAGTACACCATCCTCGTAGGTCCGTGTGTGCCGTCGTGCACACCAGGACGGCACGCCGCAGTCCAGCGATGAGTCGCCGGCTCCAGCTCGGCGAAGAAGACGATCCATGTCCGAGACGCCGCCTCGCCAGTCGGAGACAGCAGCCCAGTAGTCCGACGTCCAGTCCAGGCCCGCGATCGCTGCTGCTTTCCAGGATCACAGGCACGAGGAGGGTCGGAAATGGTTATAAATACGGCTAGGATTCAATGACAATGGGAAGGGGTAACAAAACAAAACAAATAAAATAAATACGTGTGGGTATCATGACACAAAATGCAGTGCTCATCAGTGCAAAACGATGACTCATCGGCAGCTTTACTGGGAACTAGACCTCTCTAGCACACAAAGCTTGTGGCTGGGTCTCTTGTACACCCCAGTCGGTGTACGGACGAGGACCGAACGCACGGTCCCATCAGCGCTTGGGTAGGTCTCCTGTACCACACCAAGAGGCCAGAAGCCTCTAGGCGTGTCCTCCGTCATCACCAGGACGACATCATCCACGGCGAGATTTGGTCTCTCCTTGCTCCATTTCTTGCGCGAGATGAGAGTCGGCAGATACTCCCGCAACCACCTTCTCCACACTTGATTCGTGAGCATCTGCACATGCCGCCAACGTTTGCGGGTCGTGTCGCCGTCCTCGAAGACGCCCGGAGGAAGTCCTGACGCGCTCGCCGTCTCTCCAGCAAGAAGGAAGTGGTTTGGAGTGATCGACTCCGGATCGCTGTTGGCTCCTGAGACGTAGGTGAGCGGGCGTGAATTTATGACATACTCCACCTCGACGACAGTCGTGTGCAGGACATCGTCGGACACCGTCTGATTTCCCAACACGGCACGGAGGGCCCTCTTCACCGAGGCGACGAGCCTTTCCCAGGCACCACCCATATGACTCGCCGTCGGTGGATTAAACTTCCACACGATGTCCATCTGGCTGAGAGACTCGTCGATCTTCCGCTGATTCCATTCAGCCAACGCCTCTCGCAGCTCTCGCTCTCCGCCCACCAGGTTGGTGCCATTGTCAGAGCAGATACACCTCGGCCTCCCTCGCCGTCCGATGAACCTGCGCAGAGCAAGTAGAAAGGAATCGGTGTCCAATCCATGGGCGACTTCAAGATGTATCGCCCGCGTAGCGAGGCATGTGACGAGCAGGACATAACGTTTTTCCGTTTTCCGGAACTTTCGGACTGTCAAAGGTCCAAGGAAGTCCAGACCGCAGTTTGCGAAGGGTCTATCCATTTCAACTCTGACCCTTGGGAGAGCCGCCATCTCAGGACACACTGGCTGAGCTCGCCTGTTGCGGCACACAGCACAGCTCCGTAGAATCCTCTTCACTGTTGATCTCGCCTTCGGAGTCCAGAACCTGTACCGAAACTGGTTCAGAGTGTGGCTCATTCCCGCGTGCATGGATCTCACGTGAAGATCTGAGACGATCAGTCGCGTAACATCACTGGAGGGATGCAACACGATCGGCTCTCGGGAGATCTCAGCCAGTGGTGCACTACCAAGGCGACCCTTCGCCCTGATGAGGCCCTGGTCGTCACGAAAGAGAGACAGGTCAGTTGGCGAGTCGAGCGCCATCTTTGCCTGGTCTTCCCGAAAGATCAGGAGTTCTGCTCTCTTCAGCTCGTCGACGTTCAGCACTCCGCTCTGCTTGGGCTTCTTTGTTATCGCTGATCTGAGATTGCTGACGAACCGCAGAGACAAGGCCACTACTCGCCGGTACTTGCTCCACGACGAGTAGGCCGAAGGATCCACGAGCCTGGACTGCGAATCACCGACGAAGGCGACTATCGTCTTCACAGAGGTCCTCCTGAGTTCAGGTTGCTCTGGATGGAGACCCGGGATCCGCGTCTTCGGCCACTCTTGTTCGTCTTGGGTCAGGAATTCGGGTCCCGACCACCAGAGGTCACACTCCTTCAGCATCGAGGCTGACATCCCTCGAGAGGCTATGTCCGCTGGGTTCTGCTTTCCTGGTACATGTTTCCAATCAGATGGTTCACACGATTCTCTAATCTCCGCTACCCTGTTGGCGACAAAGGTACGGAACGTGCGACTTTCGTTAGAGATGAACTGGAGCACCACCTGACTGTCCGTCCAGAACACAGTTCGGCTGAAGGCATACGACATCTCCTTCCTGATGATGCCCGCCAAACGCACCGCCAAGACCGCCGCCTGCAGCTCAAGACGCACAATGGACAACTGCTTGAGCGGAGCCAATCGCGAGCGCGACATGATGAGGGCACTGTGGTGGTGACCCGCGGCGTCTGTGAACCTGACGTACCCTGCGGCGGCAAAGGCACGCTCTGAAGCGTCAGCGAACAGATGTAGTTCGACCGTGTGAACCTCTTCAGTGACAGCAGACTTCAAGCATCGAGGTACAGCCAGATCTTCCAGATAGGACAGCTCTCCCAGCCAGTTCTTCCATATCACCAGCTCTTCTTCGGGCATGTCTTCGTCCCATGCCAGCTTCTTCTGCCACAGCGTCTGTATGAGGCACTTGGCGATCAGCACAAACGGAGTGATGATCCCAAGCGGATCAAAGAGCATGGCTGTTCTCTGTAACACCCCTCGCTTCGTAGAGGCCACATCAACCTCTTTCACACGGACACTGAGAGTGTCCGCGCTGGGGGACCACACACAACCCAGTGCCTTTTGCGGTGTACCTTTTCCCAACGTGAGAGTCTTCTGACTGACGTCACGGTCGTCTTCTTCAATGTCTTCCAGCAGCCCTGGCAGATTGCTGCGCCACTTGGTTAGGCGGAACCCTCCTTGGCGCAAGAGGGTCGTGACTTCCCGGCGCGCAGCCCTTGCTGCTTCCACACTTGGTTCCGACCGAAGGTAGTCATCCATGTAGAAGCTTGCTACCAGTGACTCACGATCAACTTCGGTCCCCCCGGTCCCAGGGTTCTCCGTCAGAGCGCGGCGCAGGATGTGATTGGCCACGGTAGGGCTACACTTGGCCCCGAATATCACAACACACATTTGGTACATGTCGGGAGGTTTCTTGAGGTCGATACTCCTCCACAGAAAGGAGAGTGCTGGCTGGTCCTGTGGACGCACTCTAATCTGGTGAAACATCTGATAGATGTCAGCGACAAGGGCGCACTGCTCCTCCCTGAAACGTAGCAGAACTGCACACAGGTTCTGGAGCAAGTCAGGTCCTTTGAGGAGTTCCGTGTTGAGAGAAATCCCGTCCTGTTCGGCAGCCGCATCAAACACCACACGAGGCTTCGGCTTGTCCGGCCGTGTGACAGCGTGATGAGGAAGCAGCCATCTTTTCTTCTCCTTGAGCTGCTTCTCTTCTGAGGAGACCTTTCGGGCGTATCCCTGATCCACGTATCCTTCAATGACCTCAGAATACAGCTTGGCTTTCTCTGACTTCCGCATCAGGCTGTGTTCCAACGACGTGAGACGCTTTAGAGCCATCTTGTGGTTGTCTGGCATCTCCGCTTGCTCGTCACGCCAGGGCAGACCGACTTCGTAGCTGTCACCCACTCGCCTTGTCGTTTCCTCCAGGATCTTCATTGTCTTCACATCTTCTGGGGAGAGCCCATCTCCGGCGAGCTTGGTCCCGAAGGCCTCTGTACTCCACCAGTCCTGGAGAGTGTCGGTGAGTTCTTGGTCTGCTTTCTGGAGAAACATCACTTCTTTGGGTCCGTCTTGCTTACAACCGAAGACACTCCCGGTCAGCGACCATCCGAAGGCGGTCCTGATGGCTGTTGGCTGCCCACGTTGACCTACCCTGGCCTCCGTCTGAAGTACTGCTTCCAAGCAGTTGGCGCCTAACAGGAGCTCCACTTCTCCAGCTGTGCATTCTGGAATGCTGAGATCCTGCAGGTGCTTCCACTCGTGTCTGTTCCTGGCGCTGACTGTAGGCGTCCTCACATTAACTCTCGTAACAGAGTAGGCTTCTGGGACGCAGATCATCCGGGAGCGGTCTTCCGTCTCTGCCAGGGGACTCACTGTCAGCTGGACACGCTGTGACGCCTTCTCTTCGCCATCAGACTCCACGTTGCGCAGACGGAGTGACTGCGGTTGTCCGGTGATGTTCAGCTCTTGCAGTGCGGATGCGCAGCAGAGTGATGTTTGTGCACCTGGGTCCAGCAGAGCCAGAGTGTCCCTTTTCTTGCCGTTTGCTCCATGGATACGGACGGGTACCACTTGCAGTAGGACCGTTGGCGATGCCCTGTCTTCGTTGGTGAATGAGGCGACAGTGTGCTGACTTGCTTCTAACTGAGCAGGCCGTTCCGTAGATGCTGTAGTATCTGGTCCTTGCCCGAGCCGCCTCAGCCTCTTACTCCCGTGCAGGAGTCTGTGGTGCCTCAGCCGGCAGCCTTGAATGCCACATGTTCTTGCTGATCGACATTCTCTGCTGCGGTGTCCCACTCTCAAGCAGCTGAAGCAGGCGCGCTGGCTCGCGACAATCTGCGCACGCTCGTCTGCGTTCTTCGCTTTGAAGCTGGCGCAATCCCACAGACTGTGGCTCGAGCCACAACAAACGCAGTCGGTCCTCGGACTCTGAGTTGTAGCGAATGCCGACGCAACTCGCGGCTCAGGTGTAAAGCCTCCACGACGAGTCGGGCGAACGGGTCCTGGTCTGTCTGGAGCTGAAACACAATGCAGGGAGATCCTTACCTGCAGCTTCAGCCACTCGTTGAATTCCAGCAGACTCGCTCTGGCTTCGAGGCTGACAGCATGTTTAGCCCATTCCCGTTTCAACTCACTTGGGAGCTTGTCGACCAGTCTCCGAAGATTCTCCTGACTGTACAGGTCTCCCTTGAAGTCAAGTCTGTCCAGAACAGTGACAGCTGAGTTGACATCAGCGTAGAACTGCTCCAGAGTCCTGATGGTGGGAGATGGGTGCCTGAAAATGGTGTTCAACTTCGCTCGAACAATGTCCTGCTCTCGACCAAACCGCTCTTCCAGTATCTGCAGGGCTTCAGGATACAGGCTCGGATCACACATCATACCACTGATCAGCTGCCGAGGAAGGCCGGTCACTGAAGACTGTAAAAACACCATCTTCTCTGCAGCACTCAGCGACATCTGGTCATGCACAAGGGCCTTAAACAAACCAAACCATGTCGGCCACTCACTTGGATCACCCGAGAAGGTACGCAGTGATAGGCGAGGCAGACTCCTGCCGACATCATGAGTCACACCTGGATCTTGAGGAGCTTCCCTGACCGGCTGGGCCATCTTTTCATCCCCGCCCACACACATCACCTTCGGTTCGTTCAACTCCAACTTGTCTTCCTTTCCTGTGATCTTCTCATCAGCAAAGTCATCTTTTCTTTCCCAGGCCAGACCACTCTCTGCCGCTTTACGTAGGGTTGCTTCTAGCCTGGCTGCTTCTACCTCATCTTGCACAGCCTGCAGTTTGTGCTTCTGCTTGAGTGCTTCTTCCTCCTTTTCTTGTGACAACTGCTGAGTTAGCTGCTCCAGCTTCAGCTGTTTCAACTTCAGTTGGATTTCTGCCTCTCTGGTCCCCATGGATGCAGCTGAGGTTCCTGACTGCTGAGCTGCACTCTTTTTGCTTAGCCCAGAAACAACTGATTGAGGCTCATCCTTTCTCTCTTCCAGATATTCACCAATTCTTTCCACAGTGTTGTCATAGGACTGGATGGCTTCATTGTAGGTTTTCTCAGCAGTCTGAGTTTGCTCTTCATTTACAAGTACTTCAATATAAGCATGATGTGCTTCTGTGACGCTATCTGCAGTAGCATCAAGATCTTTCAACAAGCTTGTCAGCTCTGTACGACTGCCCCTTGCATTCACAATCACAAGAGCACGCCTCCTGAGATTGGTGAGGGATCCTAGTCGTCTGGCCCGAACATTTTTCAACTTTCGCACTTCAGACAAATCCATCTTGCCATATGTGAACAGTGCACAACTACTCAACAAACATCTTGATCTTACAGAGGCATTTCACAGCACACCTGACAACTTGAACCCACTTGCAAACTTGCACATCAGAAACTTCCTTCATTTCTGGTAGCTATCAAACATCAGAACTTCTTCACAACGTCTGAAACTTCTGACCACATATCTGAAAACTGTTTCCACAATCGCCCTTCGCCCATATCTTCAGACGCGTCCTGAGTCCCTACTGCCTTGACGTCAAATAAACCAAAATAAAATAAAAAAGGAAAGTCATGAAACAAATGGTATTCAAGGAGCAGCAAGCAGGCAGTGATGTACCAACAGACAGTCGGTCGGAGAGACAAACAGACGGACGGTTTTCTGCAAACAATCACAGATGGGAATTACACTCAGTATGGGCACATCACGTACTGCATCCATAGTTATGTCAAGAATTACTGTTAACTCCGTATAAACACAGCAATAAACCTTCAATCAACATTAAGTCAAGGTTGACGTCTGACAATCATTACTTTAACAGTTCAAGTTCATTGATGTTAGCACGCAATCAACAGTTTGCTAACTTGCATCTTTAAATTAACAGTTGTACTGACCAGATATGTTTGGGCACGACGGTGGAACAAAAACAGTGGCAGCGGCTGGCTCAATCTCAGTCCGCACTCGTAGGTCCGCGGCTCAGCTGGCTCACACTCAGCTGGACGGCCCTAGAACCACCCCAAACATATGTATAAACGTTGTCTACTTTGACAATGATAAACTAATGACGGTAAACAGCAAAACTAAAGAACCTGCACCCAGTAGTACAGTAAATCAAAGTACAAAATTGAAAGCGCGACGAAAGTGGCGCTACGTTGGTTTGTTGCCATTTCCGCTGAATTCAACATCGCTCACAGCTAACAGAAAATATATCAGACAATACTAATTGTGCTAGCTATCACTTGGATGCATTCATTAAACATTTCAGACAATCATCAATAAGAAAATGAAAGCATACGTACGACGGCCCTCGACACCAGTGGTTCATTCAAGAATGAGCCTGCGTGGTCGACAATTTGGATGCGTCTCGTGCGCCAAACTCGTCAAAGACACGCGAGCAAACGCGGCCACTAAATGACGGGCCGGCTCCCGAACGTAAAGAGCCGCCAGATTTCTCACAAACGGCGACCGGTCGCAACAGGTGGGAAAGAATCTCTCTCGCCCGCACAACCAGAGGTTTCTCCCTGGGAGTGGTCGAGCTCGCGGCATTTCATTCCTGCGTCATTCGTCTAGGGGAGACTGTTTTCAGTCACAGTGATGGCATTCGATCGCCGCAGAATGTTGCTGGGTGTTCGATATTTCCGCGGTGTCATCGTGACGGGTTTTGCGTCATTGAAAGGTGCGGACGAGACATAGCGGTGGCTTATGGTAATGCGTAATGCGTAATGCGCATGGATTATGCCAAGCGCATTGTCATTGAGAAAACTTCTTGTCTAAGTGGTTTAACTTGAATGTTGGCCTAAATGAAAGACATTTTGAAAGCATGCTTTCCTCGGCAATCCTGTACGCAAGACTTCATGAGTAGAATAAGGAGTCGCACAAATTCACCTACATTGCTCGATCCCAGCGTGAACCAAGGTGTGAACTTCTATTTCTTTTCATTTAGGTATTGTATGCAGTAATAATTTACCTGACCCTGTGATATTTGTTTCATGTTCTTCCGTTGTGGTCATCCATTTTGTTGTGTGTCCTGGTAAAGTTACGGATATTTTCCTGTTAATTACAAAGTAGCTCAGTGTAATTATATGGCGTGCGCTCTTCACAACGTAATTATTGCTCATAATGGTTCAATTACAAGTGATTAGCGGTTTGTAATTTTGCAACACTGGCTGATATAAAGATAAATTTAGGTGGATGATGAAACAAACTTCCTATTTGCTCTCTGAATGTTATTTTCGGGGCAAATAGTAAATGTAAGACTTGAAATTGCTACTTATTTGCCCGATACTTATCATCAAAGTATTCCGTTTTGTCGGAAAAAATATGTGGCTAATTATATTTGAGTTATTGTATCATTCTTTTGGCTGATTTCAGGCTGAACAGTCTTTATCTTATCAGCTTGGATGAACAATGATCTTCAAATGACATAATCAGACTGTTCGATCCATATCATCCACATTTTACCGCTCAGACTCTGTCATAAAAGCTTACTGTCAAACCAGTGGAATACAGATAAGTGACGATTCCCCCACATCATGACATCATTATGGGTTAGGTCAGTCTGCCGTCGTATCATCATTGTTTTCCACCGCACACCCCACAGGATAGTGATATGGAACTTACAACGGCGAGCGAACTTGAAACTTATTCACTCAAAGCTCGGCCAATCAGCTATCCTCTTTCTAGGGTTGATGACAAACCCTGCAGGCCATTTCTGATGTCATTCCTTTGCCATAAAAATGTCGTGAAGTTGTGATCACTGATCAGGTCTTGCCATCCTTTTGACGTTTTCCACCGCCACTCCCGGTTGGCTTATGAGAGTCCTTTTGGATCGGTGATTCGTTGTGGGTCGGATTTCCCAATGAAAGACGGGAGTGTCTGCTGCAGATAGCCTCAATGGCGGCTTCTCGCGGGTCCCGGTCTCTGGCATCTAACGGCCGCGGCCAGTCACCAGGGCGCGGGCATAACCACTATCAGATTTCGGTGAAGGAGCGCTGCATAAAATTCCTACCGCATGCAGACAGACTTGGGTGGGCCGGCCTGACCTCCACTCAGCTTTCGGTAGCGCATCTTTGTTCTCGCCGGCTTCTTTGCCACTCGTTGCAGCGGTGTGGTCTTCCTATCCGAGGCGGCGGTGCTGATCTTCTCAAATTAGTGGCCGCCCGCGCTGGCGGCACGTGATGTCCAGATTGTGGACTAACGAGTGACTTCCTGACGGCAGAATTCCGAGCCGACTGAAGGAGCCGACCGCTGTGGTCACCCGGTGCAGCGCGCGGCGGTACTTTGATGGGGTGTGAATGGGCCGCCCGACCGCCGGAGATGGCTCTATCCCCGGTCTGTGCTCTCTCTTTCTCTCTTTCTCTCTCTCTCTCTCTCTCTCTCTCTCTCTCTCTCTCTCTCTCTCTCTCTCTCTTCCTCTCTTTCTCCCCCCTCTCTCTCTCTTCCTCCCTCACTCTTTCCCTTCCTCTCTTTTCTCCTTCCCTCACTCGTCTCTCCCCCTCTCTCTCTCTCTTTTCCTCTCTTTTTCTCTCTCCTATCCTCTCTCTCTCGCCTCTCGTTCACCAATTTACCGCCTCTCACCCCGTTTGACAACAATCAATCGCAGCCCGCCAAAAAGTCCCGCCCACTCGGTGCCTTCTCTGGGCCCTCCGCCGTGCCGCGCGGAACACCCAGCCGACTCCGCAGGTGGCCGTGCCCCCCCCCCCCCACTCCCCCCCCCCCCCCCTCGGCCGTCGGGAGGGGGTTAATGTATGCCTGGTCACACGACGAAATCGCGAGCGGCCAGCGGTTGAAAGGGGCCGACGTCAGTAAGGTATTTCCTCACGGCCGGGTCTTGGTCCGACTGTGACTCGGTGTGGTCCGGCCTGGTCCTGGTCCTGGTTTTGTTCACTTTGGTCCTGGTTTGGCCCGTCCTGGCTTAGGTCTGATCGAAATGGAAGGTAGGCAAGGGCAGGTGTTAACCTGGCTGATTAGGAATATCGCCATCGGTTTTGACTCTTGAGCATATTGCACGTAGTGAAAGGTAAACGAGAACGGAAGGTAAAATTAACTGAACTGAACTGAACGTGGGTAATGCCCAGATGATAGAAAGAGAGTGGTTAAGGGCTCGGACAAGTTAAACTCCTTGCTGCAGGCCTGAAGTTCGAAGACGTCGACGGTGTGCCGCTGTAAACGTCGTCTTCGTGCAATGTGCAATGTGCATGTTTTAAGCTCATTGCAGTAAATCGGTATAGATCAGGGTATGTCCCTTGTCTAGCCCAAGTATAACTTTGTACGCTTTTATTTGCTCATGCGTGACATGAAGCGATACTTCAAGCAATATAATTGACAACGGATGGACATAAGTTGTCTCAGTGATGTCAAAATTACAAAAAGCAGTACAGTGCCGATATCTTGGTTTGTTACTTCGCTTGTGAGTTTAATGGGTTTAATGCCCGTCTCCCAAAATCGCTTATCACTGAATTCACTGTCATCACTATCACTCTCATCGCTCTAAATTGTGTACATATGTACCTATCAATAAAATAACGTATGATCCTCATTTCCATTCCACAGTGACACCAGCTCGCCCATAATTATTCCCACCAAAACAATGCCCAAAATTAACAATAACAAATACTCCGACTAATTGAAGACAGTTCTCCGCCACCCATGGTCTCGGCCAAATTTAGTCATCAAAACCGGCGGCCATTATCCCGGTGAGGGGCGCGCCGGGGTCTCGGCTATTTGTTCGCGCTAACGTTGATGGTGGATTGGTGGGCGGAGTGGGGGAATTGGAAGGCGGGATGGGACAGAACACGGGGACAGTAGGGTCGGCTGGTGGGGTGGGGGGAGTCAAAGGGGGCGACGACAGGCTGACGTGACCCCAGCTACTCGCAGCAGGGGGTGGCAGGGCCGGGGATCAGTGGACAAGCGGCTCTCGCGGTGCCGACTGCGAGGTTGGTCAGATAGTTTTGGTCCGTGCTGGTCCATGGATTGGTGGGTTTCGTCGGAGTGGTATGGCGAGAGATTATTTGGGTCGATTGGGATGGATTAAAAAGGCAAGGGTGGTAAGAACGAAATGGATAATCGGGGGTGGGGATATGTGTGTAATGCGGACTATTGTGGAGCAGGGAAGAAAGTATTGGAATAGCTGCGGCTGTGTGTGGGTGTTATTTTGAGTTTTTTTTTAGTTATTTTGGATCAGATGTGCAAAGAGCTATGATTCACAGTAGCTCATCTTACATGTATTTTGCGTTTAATTCTTTTTCGTTTTTCCTTTCCTTATTCCGTTTTTATCAGTCATTTTTTTTTCACCTTTCACCGTTTCTCCGTGTCCTGCTGCCCTCCTTCCATCCTCCTGTCCTCCTCGCCCTTTCCTCCTTCCTTACTGATTGCTGCGTCTGTTGGGGCTGATTATCGGCCTGCGATGATAATTTGTGAGTCCTGCTCATCCAGCCAGGGGCGACAAGCCGTCTGCTGCCTGACCCCCCCTCTCCCCTGTGACCCCCCACCGTACCCTGTGAGTGCCCTCTTTCCTCACCCCCCCCCCCCCCTGTCAGCGTTCCGTCGATCAGGTATTTCCGAGCCTTCCCGTGCGGTGCCGCACGCGGGGCTTCAATTTTCCGACCGCTCCGTGTTTAACAGGCTCAAATTGTCTCGGCAGACGCGTTGGGGAATGTGATGATATGTTTGTGTGAGTGGGCGTAGAACAAACTCATAGGAAAACTGGGTGGTTTGGTTGGGATAGTTTGGTATTTTCTAATGGTAATTGAGAGGAAATGTGGCTAGTTGTGTTAGTCAGCTTGGATGGTTCATTCCTGTGGTTGCAAATCGTTTGTTTGCCTAGCCCCGGTACATGATATATGAGCAGTTTTAGCAGTGTCGTTGTGTTAAACATGCTTTGGGCTTGACGAGCTCATATCGCGTTCATGAGCAATAAATGACGAATCTCGTGAGAATGGAATAGCGACTTTGGCTCACGTTTCTTATCTTTCCCTTTGGACACATAGCTGAGATCATTTAGACATGGATCATAGGGCTCACGTTGGGATTAATGGGAGTTGAGGTTTGGGAAGTATTTGCTCCAGTTCTTGCACCAGTTTGTACCATGAGTGGCTTGGGAAAGCTGCTAATGACTTTCAGCTGACCTGGGACTTTCTTCTGAGAGTTATTTGAGGGAGCGTCTTCTTGTCACGTTTGCTTCTCCCCACGATGGACGATAAGCTCTATAAAACAAACTATTATCGGTCATTACGAAGTATTATCGGTCAACTCCTAACCTTTCTGCGTCCCAATGACAGAAGCTCACTTTTCAAATGCACGACTAAAAATATCAAGAAATATTCAAATAACGAAAACCTATTTATACTACCAACCTGTGCGATTATTCCGAGCATGATTGAATATGTACACATTATCATGGGATTTATTTACAATGTATTATGCTTCGAAATTTTTCAATCGCATCTGTAAAAGCAGTCCGTGCATTTTTA